AGGGGGAGTGCCGGGGGCTGGAGGGAAAGGGTGACTGTAGGGGGGGAGGGGGAGTGCCGGGGGCTGGAGGGAAAGGGTGACTGCAGTGGGAGTACTGGGAGCTGGAGGAGGAAAAGAGGGCACATGGGTTGAGAGGGTACGTGTGAGGTGTTGAGAGGAGGGAGGGAGGTGGGTGTATGGGGCAAAGAGTTCGGAGGTGTGGGGCTGAGAAGTGTGGATACAGGTGTAGGAGGTTGAACACTGAGGGAAGGGAATGGCTGCGAAGGGTCTGGATGGGGTTGATAGTGATAATTGCAGTGGTTAGAGTGGAATCTTCTTGACAGTGTACCCCAACATCTCATGTACAGGGTCAGAGAATTGCCATTCAGTCCCAATGAGAACAAGCCGGAGACTCTTGTGCCCAGTTGTATGGCACATGCCAGTTGATTGCTGAGCCAGTGATGCTTACTGCTGTTAACATGGCATTGTGCAGAAAGGAGCATCTACTACTGTCCTCACGCTGCAGGCAGGCTCGTGCTCTTTGAGCTTATTTATGGTTTTCATGCCATTGTAGGGCACTTGGGGGCAGAGATGGGTGAACAAGCAGCAGCAGCTCTGATTACACCATCCATGCTGGAAGAGGAGGAGCAGCTGGAGGCAGCAGGGATGGAGAAGGAGAGGGAGATGCTGGAAAAGGTAAATTGGAGGGTGTAATCAAAGTTAAAATATTTCTGTCACTAGCAAAGCCAAAAATTATGTATTACTTTCTGCCTGTGGGTGCAGATTTGTTATGTTCACTTAACTGATTCGTTGCATGCTTGGACCTGATTTGTTGGTACTTGTAAAGTTGGGCAAGGTATGCTCTTAATTATCTACAGCTATGCTTTCCAGAGTGGAAATGGTTCAACAGAGTGCACTTCAAGTGGTATCAGTTTCTCAGAAACGGAGAGAGTTTGTAATATTTTTTTATGGTCCAAGGACCGCATTATTAACGTTTTTTTTACCTTATCAATAGATTTTTAAGGTGACACTGTCAGTTTACAACTTTGTTTTTTTAAACTTACAAATTTATTTAACAATGTTACTAATAACACAAGTTTAATAAAAGCTTTAGAACTTCAAATCCAATGTAGCTGTCACCATTATTTATCTGTGGCATTTCTTGGGCCTAGAAGTACTGAATGTTATACTTTAAAAACTGATTTGGAAAAGGGCAGTAGCTTTATAGTGAATTGGTAGGCAGTTCACAACAGTTTGTGAATCACCCATTTCACCTTTTAGTCATCTTCTGTTATTTGTGTACGCTTTTTATACAGCAGCAGGGGAGAATAAACTTTTTTTTTAAATGGAAACATGATTATAGCACCACAAAAATTGGCTGGACTAGTACCCGAAACTACTTTAAAATCATTTTTTTATTGATTACATTTCAATTTGACAGTGTCCTTTTAAGCTTGAGTATTTTAAACTGCTATGGCTAGAAACTAGTATTTTATACACCCTGTAATTATAGCCTCTGGTGAATAATAGCTATAGCTAGAAATTAATACTTATGGTAAGCATTCATCTCTAAATTTAGCAGTTTCTGAGAATGTCTACAATACGTCTGTTAGTCTAGATCCAGACTAACACGGCTACCCCTCTGATACAAAAATTATGTTACACTTGAAGTGGGGGTGAAATGAGATGATCAGAATGATGTGATTTTTTTTAGAGAGAGACAAGATGGGTGAAGTAATACTTTTTTTTGGACCAGTTTCTATGGCGAGAGAGACAAGCTTTCGAGCTTACAACAGAACTGTTCTTCAGGGTTAGGAAACTACCTGGAGTGTCACTGTTAAATACAAAATAGGTAGTTAATGCATATTTCAAGGGTCCATTCAAGGTGAAGTGGCCCATTAACACCCCTTCAGTCCTGAAAGGATGGGAGGGAAGAAAAGGCAGCTTGGTGGTGCCAGGGTCGTTAATGGGTTATAGATTGTTGTAATAAGCTATAAATCCAGTGTGTCTATTCCAGTGTTTCTCAACCAGGGGAAGGTAGAGGTCTTCCAAGGGGTACTTAACTCATCTAGATCAGTGTTTCTCGATTTGGGGCTTGCAGCCCCGAGGGTGGTCATAGGATGGGTTTAGGTGGGTTGCAAATGCATGGCTGGCATTAGAAGGTGGCAAGCAGAGCAGTTGCCTGGGGCTCCATGCTTCAGCCCTGGGCGGCAGGGCTTGGGCTTCAGACAAGGCTTACAAGTGAAAAACAGGCTCAGTATCACAGTGAAATGTAAGTACAATACTTGTATTCCAATGAATTTATTTTATAATTATATGGTAAAAATGACAAAGTAAGCAATTTTTCAGTACTAGTGTGCTGCGACACTTGTGTCTTTGTCTGATTTTGTAAGCAAATAGTTTTTAAATGAGGTGAAACTGGGGGTACTCAAGACACATCAGATTCCTAAAAGGGATACAGTTGTCTGGAAAGGTTGAGAACCACTGGTCTGTTCAGTCCCTGATTTTTAATGTCTAGCAAAGTTATGAATTTAAGCTCCCAGTCTCGTCTTTTGAAAGTGTTGTGCAGATTTCCTTTGAGAATGAGGACTGAGGGGTCAGATATGGAGTGGTCATTTTGTGAAAAGCATTTGCCACAGGTGATGTGGTGTTTTTGTCATCATTTTTCTGAGTGTTCATTTGAGAGCATAGTGATTATCTGGTTTCAGCTACATTGTTGTTATTTGGGCATTTAGTGCACTGGATGAGGTACATTGTATGTTGTGATGGATGTGTAGAACTTACGGATCTTGAAAGGTGTGTTGTGGGGAATGGGGGTCGATCATTGTAGCAGTAGAGATCCGTATACAGGTTTTGTCTGTTGTTCTGGCAGGGTCCGGTGCTTCTTTGAGTTGATGTGTCCTGATCTGAAGGGAGCTTGCTTCTGATGATGAGCTTGGAGAGGCTGGGGTTTGTTTGAAGGCCAGAAGAGGAGGTTTAGGAAAGATTTTTCAGGATGTGGTCCTCATCAGGTATGGATTGTAATTGTTTAATGATACCCCATATGGGTTCCATTGTGGGCTGGTAAGTGACAACTAGGGGTGTGCGGTTAGAGGGAATTTTATTTCTGTATTGAAGTAGGTTCTCTTGGGGGTATATCAGTGGCCCATTCCTACTTCTCTGGTGGAGTGTCCTTGTTTAATGACCGTGGTTTTGAATGCATTAAGGCAGTGGTTCTCAAACTTTTGTACTTGTGGCCCCTTTCACATAGAAAGCCTCTGAGTGCGACACCCCGCCCTCCTTAAATATATAAAAAAGTGTTTTTAATTTATAACACCATTATAAAGGCTGGAGGCAAAGTGGGGTTTGGGATGGAGACTGACAGCTCGTGACCCCCCCATGTAATAACCTCACAACCCCCTCAGAGGTCCCAACCCCCAGTTTGAGAACCCCTGCGTTAAGGTGTATATCCTAACGTTCTCGTCAGAGCATATTATGTGGAATCTGAGTGCCTGGCTGTAGACAAGATTTTTTTGATGTGTTTGGGGTGGTTACTGCATCTGTGAAGGTAGGTGTGGTGATCTATGGGTTTCTTATATATAGCTATCTGTAGGATTCCATTGCTGAAGCTGATCATGGTATCCAGGAAGTTGATGCTAGTGTGACAGTGCTCTAGTTTAAATGGATGGAAGATGGTTGTTGAATTTGTGGTAGAAATCTATGAGGGAGTTTAAGTTGTCTGTCCAGAGAATAAAAATATTTATGTACTTCAGGTATATAATTGGTTTTGTGGTGCCATTTGTCCAGTAATTCTTCCTCTGGGTGGCCAGTGAAGAGGTTGGCATTCTGGGGAGCCATCCTAGTACCCATGGCTGTTCCCATAGTTTGGACAAAGTGTTTGAATATAAAATTGTTATGGGTGAGTATGAAATGGATGAGCTTGGTGATGTGTTTGCGGTAGATATCTGAGTGTTGCCAATTGTCTTGGGGTATGTCTATACATACAGTGCTGCAGAGGTGGAGCTGTACCAATATGCTGCACCACTGCAGCGCATCTGGTGAAGACACTCTATGCGGATGGGAGAGAGCTCTCCCGTCAACATAAAAAAAAAGCCTCTGCGAGTGGCATAAGCCATGTGATATTGTGGTGTGCACATGAACACTTATGTCGATGTAACTTATGTTGCAGATGAGGGTGGAATATTCACATCACTGAGCGATATAAGTTTTGCCGACATAGGCTGTAGTAAGAACAGGAGTACTTGTGGCACCTTAGGGTATGTCTACACTACGAGAGTAGTTCGATTTTACTTAAATCGAATATGTGGAATCGATATTGCAAAGTCGAACGTGTGTGTCCACACTAAGGACAGTAATTCGACTTTGTGAGTCCACACTAACGGGGCAAGCGTTGACATTGGAAGCGGTGCACTGTGGGCAGCTATCCCACAGTTCCCGCAGTCCCCGCTGCCCATTGGAATTATGGGTCGAGCCGCCAATGCCTTCTGGGTAAAAAATGTGTCGAGGGTGCTTTTGGGTCACTGTCGTCATCCGTCCGTCACTACCGCCGTCCCTCCCTCCCTGAAAGCGCCAGCGGGAAATCAGTTCGCGCACTTTTCTGGTCAGTGACAGCGCGGACGCCACAGCACTGCGATCATGGATCACGCTGCGACCATCGCTGCAGTTGTGGCCGTTCTCAACACCTCGCAGCTTATCATACACCTTTCCCTGAGGCAGATGCAGAGAAATCGGGCGAGGAGGCTACGGCACCGCCGTGAGGGCCTGAAGTCGGAGAGTAGCACAGAGCTGTCAGAAACCACGAGCCCCAGCGCCCAGGACATCATGGTGGCAATGGGTCATGTGGATATTGTGGAACGGCGATTCTGGGCCCGGGAAACAAGCACGGACTGGTGGGACCGCATAGTGCTGCAGGTCTGGGACGAATCCCAGTGGCTGCGAAACTTTCGCATGCGGAAGGGGACTTTCCTCGAACTTTGTGAGTTGCTGTCCCCTGCCCTGAAGCGCAATGACACCCGGATGCGAGCAGCCCTGACTGTCCAGAAGCGAGTGGCCATAGCTCTCTGGAAGCTTGCAACGCCAGACAGCTACCGGTCAGTCGCGAACCACTTTGGTGTGGGCAAATCTACCGTGGGGGTTGTTGTGATGCAAGTAGCCAACGCAATCGTTAAGGTACTGCTCTCAAAGGTAGTGACCCTGGGAAACGCGCAGGTCATCATAGATGGCTTCGCCGCGATGGGATTCCCAAACTGCGGTGGGGCTATAGATGGGACTCACATCCCTATCCTGGGACCGGACCACCAGGCCAGCCAGTACATTAACAGAAAGGGCTACTTTTCAATGGTGCTGCAAGCACTGGTGGACCATAGGGGACGTTTTACCAACATCAACGTCGGATGGCCGGGCAAGGTTCATGACGCTCGCGTGTTCAGGAACTCTGGTCTGTTTAGACGGCTGCAGGAAGGTATTTACTTCCC